CAGAAATCAAAGTAACTTGCAATTTAAATATCAGAGAAAAATCATGTTTATAAAAGCTTTTGTAGTAAATGAAATGAAAAAATTTGAAATTTTGAATGAAAATAATTAGAATTTCCATTACACATAAATGAAAACCAAGAAAACGCTTTATTAGCAAACTAATTGTACGCTAACAGGCTAGCTTGGAATGTTTACTAAAATGCTCTTTATTTTATTTATTTTTCGTAAGTACATAAATTGTGTGTTTTATTTCATTTCAAATATTTGAATTTCAGAATGATATAGAGAATTAATTTTAAGAACATACTAGTTTTCTTTTTTTTTTTAATTTTAAAATTTACGAATTATAAATCTTTAAAAAAATCTGAAAAAAAAATTTCATGAAATTTGCGAATTTCAGATTTTTCTGGCAAAGAAACTAAGTGTTATCAATTATTATTAATCATTACAACTTATCTAAATCAAATAAAAAAAGAACAAATTATGTACAGCTGCAATAAACAAAAACCGCAGTTCACTAGAGGGCGTGGATATAGAGTACAAACTGGTTACTAGACCATTGATGTCAACGTTCACCGTGACGTCCGTTTGGTCGAGTGATTGAGCTTTCTGCCTTTATATCTATGGTTTGAGACGAGACTGAGCAGCAACAGCGCAGGAGAGTGAAAGTTGCTTTCACAAATTAGCAAGTCAACCGTACAATGTGGACTATCCATCGAAGTAGGCGTAACCGTTGAGAGATTGCGAAGTGGGCGTTACTTGCGTGATCAAATCACGTCCGAAGGTTACCAATACGGGGGCGGAGTTAGTCGACAATACCAACCGTCATCTATCAAAAGGTGCCTCGTGATAGAATCTAGTTAGCATGCTTTATATACTAGTGAATGAAGTTAAACTTTTGTAGTGGTAGTTACGCCACAGTATTCTTCGGCCGGCTGGATTCGAACTCCCATTCTCACGAACACGAGTTCATAGCTCTACCAACCAAGCTACCCTTACGAAAATTTAAGGTATATTTAGGGTTGATTTGAGGTATCAAGGTTGATTTGAGGTATATTTAAGGTTGCTGAGAAAACAGCAATAAAAATTATACCTCGTAAAGGTTGAAATTAAGATGTACGAGGTTGCTTTATATACACTTCAGCTTGTTTTGAGGTTGTTTAAAATTCACTTCAAATAAACCAGACTCATAAGGCGATTTTTAAGATATACCAGGTTGATTTTCTTACACTTGTAACAAAGAAGGTATTTATGAGGTATGAAAAAATCAACCTTATTTCAACTAACGAGAATGAGGTATTTACGAGGTATAAATTTTTTACCTTATTTCAACTAAAGAGAGTGAGGTATTTATTGAATTATATGAAGCCATTTATTTATACCTAAGCTTATTTTGAGGTTGTTTTAAATCCACTTCAAATCAACCAGATTGATAAGGTGATTTTGAAGGTATACGAGGTTGTTTTTCTTACACTTGTAGCAAAAGAGGTATTTATGAGGTATAAAAAATCAACCTTATTTCAACTAACGAGAATGAGGTACTTATGAGGTATAAAAAAATATACCTTATTTCAACTAAAGAGAGTGAGGTATTTATTGAGGTGTATGAAGTCATTTTATTTATACCCAAGGTTGTTTAAAGTACACTTCGTATTAACTAGCTCACTTCCCAGAGTTCCGAGCGAGCCGGCAAATGGCGTGTATGTTGACAATCGAAAGTCTATTTGAAATTCGGTAAGTGTGCTTGACATTTATTAATTTAGTTTTATCACTTTTAATCAAATATGCTTCAATTTTCAAACTTAAATTTTATTATTTTTGTTTTCAAGACGCGTCCTGATCTTAAATAATTTAAGTTGGTGGACATTCTTAGAGGCTATTGGTGTAGGCTCAGCAATAGGAGAAAACAATCGAAATATTTCTCGTCGCTGTTTAGGGCAGCGTTACTGTTGAATCGTTACAGCAGGTTACGCACAGTATATTTTATTGTTTGTAATTTATTTAAATATAACGATTCTTTTTTTCTTTTTTTTTTTTTTGCTTAGCTGTATATGTTTTAACGTAGCTGTATGCAAGATTAATTGAGGAAAATGTTCATAATTTCTCTTATAAATAAATCAATGAAAATTGAACGATTTTTAAAATAGCAATTTTGCTTTGAAATTCTACTATAGCTGTATGCTTATCGTTTGCTTGGATATCTGTTGCAAAGTTTATATTGTTGTTTATGAGTGAAAATATGTTTAATAACACTGCATTTTAAATCTGACTAACACGCAATTTCTTTTTGTAATATATATATANCCAATTAGAAAGAGCTAGCAACAATGTTCTGAATGAAACTGTACCAAAGAGACGAGACAGTTTTTATAAAATTTATTTATTCACCAACTTTGCATCAATAAGCAAATATAAATTTAAATGTCCGTAACGGGTTAGTATAAACGTAAGAGAAGTTTAACCCGCCATCTATATATATATATATATATATATATATCCACAGTTCCCTGATATTGCTGAGATGACCTAGGCTGCAAACAGCACATGTGCAGCAGCGAAGAAGAAGTGGCTAGCAAGCTATTGCTCAGCCTTATCCTAGGAAATAGTTCTAAATTTATACTAAAAAGAAAAAGTAATCTCTCCTATTAAACTACAGAATTTATGTAATTGTTGATAACAATAGTTTGCTAGATATTTGATAATTGAAAACTAGTAACTGTACTAGCTCACTTTTTTATGTTTGATCACAAAACTGCTATTTTCACTACATGTTATTTTTTCGCAATTTACCTACGTTAATTATTTACTAAGCAGATTGTTATTACTTATTAGAATATTGAGCAGAATAAAATAAAACCCGATTTCAAGTTTATATGACAATTTGTTTCAAGGTTATGAGCATTTTTATGCAGCTGTTTATGGTTCACTACTTCAAAAATTGGCGACTTTCGGAAACCTTAAATTTTTTAGAAATAAGTCAGTGTAGTTTCTTGTGCAATTTTAATGCTGAATTGAATAAAATCAATTGCAAATAAAAACATTTATTGTTGAAAGTAATATGCATTTTTTTTTAATTTCATCCTATGGGATGTGTTTTTATATTTAAACAAATGTTTGTAGCAACTAACTATTAGTGTTATTCTGCTCGGTATTATAAGTTATGTTAATTATAATTTCTAATACTCAATAGATGGCGCTCTGCGCAGCAATGTAAAATCATTAGTTTCTAATCAGTTTTCTCCATGCCACTGTACCATTATCATCATCCTTCTTGTTATTAAATATATTTTATGTTAAAAGGCGTTTGTTATGATTGAAAACCCCGAGATCAGAGATCATATCACCGTATTTAATATTGGCGCCCAACGTGGGGCTAAGAATTTGATTAAAGATCGATGATTTGAAAAATAAAAGAAAAACAATTCGCTCTTTAACAACTCGATTAATAACAAAAATTGAAAACTTGATGAATGATGATAATGTTGAAACTAAAGAAAAGATCGAAGAATTAATAGATTATAAGGAACAGTATAAATAAAAGTTTAAAAGCAATAAATAATCGAATTGAACCACTAATTGAAAGTGAGGAAATAGAAAATGAAATTATTGGAATTGAAGAATATTCGGAAAAAATAATAAAGTGGCAATCTCGAATCGCAAGATTTTTGAAAGAAAACAATAAAGAAAGTAGAGGAGGAGAAGAATCATTTAACAGCGCACAATCTAAATTTGTTCCAGAAATAAGTAATGCAGTTAAACTCCCAAAACTAAGCATAAACAAATTTTACGGAGAAACAACATTATGGCTTGAATTTTGGAATCAATTTGAAATCGCGATCCATGAAAACGAAAGTTTAACTGAGATACAAAAATTTACTTATTTAAAGAGTTTATTGGGTGGAATTGCATTAAATGCTATTAGAGGGTTTGCTTTGACTAAAGAAAATTATATGAAAAGTATAGAATTGCTAAAAGATAGATTTGGGCGGGAAGATTTAGTGATTAATAGTCATATGAATCGTCTATTAAATCTTGATCCCGTAAAAAATTCTAGTGATATTAGAGCATTACGGAATTTATATGATAATTTAGAAGTAAACATTAGATCTTTAGAAAGATTAAATGTAGTCTCTGGAACATATGGACACTTATTATGCCCTATATTATTAAAACTAATACCAGAAGATTTAACTTTAGAATACAACCGCAAACGAAAATCAAAATCAGAATTTAATGTTTCGGAATTAATTCAATTTATTAAGGAAGAAATTCAAGTACGCGAATCATCTACATTATTCCATGATAATGCTAAGAAAAATAAACACTATAATTATTATAATTCCAGGGAAGTAATAAATAACAAAAAACAGTTCAGATCGAATATTCCCACAGCTTCAGCATTGGCTACTAATGTAAAATTTAATTGTGTATTTTGTAAATCAGAACATGATTCATTTATTTGTGAAAAAATGTCGGTTTCTGAAAAAAGAGATAGATTAATGCGCGAAGGTCGTTGCTTTAAATGTTTCCGAAAATCACATTTAAGTTCACAATGTAGGAGTAAAATTAGTCCTTGTAAAAAATGTAATAGTAAATCTCATCACGAAATAATTTGTTTTGGAATTCCGAAAACTCAAAACGAAAGTTCGCAAGAAACCGCAGAGAAAAATACAGTCGTAGCCAGCGTTTCTCATGTCGAAGAGGGACAAAAGGGGGAATTTCAATCAGTGTTTTTACAAACATGTGTTGCGAATTTACATTTGGCAGACAAAACGCAGGAGATAAATATTTTATTTGATTCCGCATCGATGAGGTCATTCATTACTAGAGAATTAGCTCAAAAGCTTAATCTCCCGATAATAAGAAAGGAAAATTTATTAGTTTATACTTTTGGAAGCCGTGAACCGCAAGAAAAAACATTTGATATAGTAAAGGCGAGTATAAGCAATAAAAAATATCCTACTCGAAGGTCAGAGTTCGAATTATTGGTTTCAAGTACCATAACACGTGCTTCTTTCCCACCGCATAATAATAAAATAAAGTTGCTGCTTGAGGATTTTGCGCTTACTGATTTATGCCTTTCGAAAGGAATAAATTCCATTGATATATTAATTGGAGCAGATTATTATTGGAAACTCCACACTGGGTACATAAAGGAGTTGACTAAAGATTTGTTTTATGTCGAAACATTACTCGGCGGAAGCGTAACTGGGATTACTCATTCAGATTTAAAAAATGACTCTATCATTGAAAATTTATGTTATTGTAAGGAAAAATTTAATTGTGAGGAATTAACTAGTGAAAATAATTCTTGTGATGATATAAATTTACAGTTACGGAAATTTTGGGATATTGAAAGCTTAGGCATAAATGATAAAATTCAGAATACACCTTTAGAGCAAGAAACTTTAAAACAGTTTGAACAAAATATAAAATTTCAGGATGGCAGATACGTAGTTAAATTACCATTTAAAGATGAGGTAAACATTTCTGACAATTTTAATTTATCTAAAAGAAGGTTAATTAGTTTAACATCGCGTTTTAATAAAAATCCTTCTTTGCATGATAATTATGCTAGTATTTTTAAAGAACAATTATCGGAAGGAATAATAGAACCTGTTAATGATAAATCAATAGTTCCAAATATGGTTTATTACTTACCTCATCATCCAGTAATTAGAAATGATAAACAAACTACAAAGTTACGGATAGTTTTTGATGCTTCGGCTAAAGAAAAAAATTGCTACTCTCTAAATGATAACTTATTATCGGGTCCCAATCTAAACCCTAATCTTTTAATTTTACTATTAAAATTTCGCGAGTTTAAGATAGGAATAATTGCTGATTGTGAAAAGGCTTTCCTACAATTGTTAATTGATGAACATGATAGGGACTATCTTAGATTTCTTTGGTCAGAGCAATTCCCTCCCAAGAAAATTGAGGTTTTTCGCAATAGAACCGTAACTTTCGGAGTAAAATCATCAACATTTTTACTGGCTGGAACAATAAAGTATCATATCAAAAATTATAAAGAATCTCATCCTTTGGCGTGTAAGGTTTTAAATGAAAATTTGTATGTCGACGATCTTATTACTGGTACAAATACGATTGAAGATGGACTACTATTATCCAGGGACACTAAATTAATATTAAAGGATGCATCAATAAATCTTAGGAAGTGGAAGAGTAATTCTAAGGAGTTATGCCAAAAATGGCAAGACACGAAATTTGAAAAATATCCTAGTGAAGAAACAGTACCTTTAAAGGTTTTAGGATTAATTTGGAATACTTTAAGGGATGAATTTAATTTAGATTTAAGTTCTTTAATTGACTCTTTGGAAAATGTGAAAAATACTAAGAGAAGCGTATTACGCATATCATCGAAATTATTTGATCCAATGGGATATATAACAGCATTCACGATTAGAATTAAAATTCTTCTTCAAGAAATATGGGAACAAGGCTTAGAATGGGATGAGGAATTCGGAGATATTTTAAGACTGAAATGGGAAAAATGGTATAAGGAAGTAAATGTATTAAAGGAACTTTCACTACCAAGATATTATTTTCATGAAGAAGATAGCTGTTCCGAAGTAGGGAATTATAAGATAATTATATTTTGTGACGCAAGTGAGAAGGCGTATGGAGCGATTGCATATATTCGATATGAAAGAAATCAAAATTTTTACGTAAGCTTCGTTACTTCAAAGGCACGCGTTGCACCATTGAAGAAGTTGAGTCTACCAAGATTAGAACTGATGGCCACTCTTATAGGTTCCAGATTATTGGATACTTTAAGGAAAGTGTTTCAAATAAATAACAACTATATACTATATTCTGACTCAACCATAGCCCTTAGTTGGATTCGAGGAAATGCAAATCAGTGGAAGACATTTATTTCAAACAGAGTAAGTGAGATCCAAACTTTAACAGATCCTACTAATTGGAAGTACATAAAGGGAAATGATAATCCAGCTGATATCATATCAAGAGGATGCAGTGCTAATGATTTGCTCTCAAGTGCAACTATTTTTAATGGACCAACATGGTTGACATTAAGCGAAGAAAAATGGCCGAAAAACGAAGAAAATTTTAGAAGATCAGATGTAGATGAAGAAAAGAGATCAAAATTTATTGCAGTTAATTATGCAAGTGAAAATAATGTTCACGATTCAATTTTCGATATCCACAAATTTAGTTCTATTAAGAAGGTTTACCGAATAACAGCCTGGATTAGAAGATTTATAACAAATTTGAGAGTGAAGAAAGAAGATAGAATCAAAAATGTTTTAACTGCAGAAGAATTAGAAGAAGCTGAAAACCTTTGGTTGAGACACGTACAAGCAAAGAACTACAGTAAGGATATAGATTGCTTAAAGGAAGGACAACATTTACAGAAGTGCTCAAAAATCAGAGACTTAAATCCGTTCATTTCTGACAAAGGGATTCTACTTGTGGGTGGAAGACTACAGCACTCCAATTTGAACTATTATGAAAAACATCCTATACTATTACCATCAAAAACTAAATTTACAGAACTGATAGTGAAGGAAGCACACGAAAAGACCCTACACTCTGGTATTTCAGACACACTAACGCAGGTACGAGAGAAGTTTTGGATTCCGAAAGGTCGGCAATTTATTAAGTCAATAATTGGAAGATGCGTCTTATGTAAGAGATTCAATGTTCGATCAGGAAGAGAAATTATGGCTCCTCTTCCTAAAGACAGAATAGAACAGTCACCTCCATTTTCAGTTACTGGCCTGGATTTTGCTGGACCCTTATTTGTGAAAGATTCTGACAGTAAGTTTTACATCATGCTATGCACCTGTGCAGTTACACGAGCGATACACCTGGAAATTGTTTCCAGTTTAACAACTGAAGCATTTTTACTTGCTTTTCGTCGCTTCATTTCCAGAAGAGGACTGTGTTCTGTAATTTATTCAGACAATGCTCAGACGTTCAAACGAGCAGAGTTTGAATTGAAAAAAATGTGGACTATTTTGAGCAGTTCTGAAGTGAGTGAGTTTTATTCCTCAAAAGGAATAAGGTGGAAATTCATCGTTGAAAGAGCACCCTGGTGGGGTGGATTCTACGAGCGAATGGTTCGTTCAATGAAAATCATTCTTCGGAAATTACTGAGGAAAACATCTTTGACTAGTGAAGAACTCGAAACAGTTCTATGTGAAATAGAAGCTGTGATTAACTCGAGGCCTATTACTTACGTGACTACAGATTCTCCAGAAACTTTTCCTCTAACGCCATCCCACATGCTACTTGGAAGACGATTAATAAGTTTACCGTCAGTCAAGTTATCCGGTATTGACTGCATGATTGACAAAAAAATGATAATTAAAAAATTTAAATATCGAGAAAGACTTATAAATCAATTTTGGAAGAAATGGAAAAGGGATTATCTTTTAAATTTAAGAGCTGTCAATTATGTAAATTTGGATAAAGGTAATCAAAATTTTAAGGTAAATGATATTGTTTTGATTCATGATGACAAACTTCCAAGGAGCATGTGGAAACTTGGAAAAATTGTGGAAACATTTCAAGGACGTGATAACAAAATAAGAGCATGTGCTTTGAAAACAGATACGTCAATAATAAAACGTCCTATAAATTTATTATATAATTTAGAAGTGAACAATTAAATTAATATGAACATTCTATTTGAACTTTAAATTCACATTTATTATTATTTGAACATTTTATTTTACAATATTACTTAAGATAATCATTTAACTTACAAATTAAGTTTATCTTAAGATATTATTTGAACTTTTTTGATTTAAAGAAAATATGCATACATATATATTTTCTTGTTTAAATGCATGTTTGTTTAAAATTGAAATATTTTGCATGTGAAAGAATTTGTGTTGTGAAAATTGCTTGATTTATTATTCATGATATGATAATTTAATTTCATCAATTGATATTTACTTAAATTTCAATAATTTCATTTTTAAGGTAATAATTTGTTAAAGGTTTGAACTAATGCTCATGAAACATATTATTTTAAGAATTCAATTAATATTATTGCATTATAATCTTTATATAATTAAGAAGGGCTCATATTGTAAAAAGGTAAGATTATATTATATTTTAAATATTGGTACCTTACATTTGAGAAAAATAACTTTGATTAATATATGAAATGACAAAATTGTTATGAACTAAAAGTTCATCGGGGGGAAGTTTGTTAATTATAATTTCTAATACTCAATAGATGACGCTCTGCGCAGCAATGTAAAATCATTAGTTTCTAATCAGTTTCCTCCATGCCACTGTACCATTATCATCATCCTTCTTGTTATTAAATATATTTTATGTTAAAAAGCGTTTGTTATGATTGAAAACCCCGAGATCCGTTTTTCCTCTTATCTGCACTGATTAATGAGAAGCAACCACGAGGATTAGTGAGCAAAGTGTACAAGGGAGGAGCCTTCTAGTTTTTTAAATAATTGTTAAATTATTAGTTTTTGCATACTTTAGGAAATAATGAAAACTTTTTTTCAGTTTTAGGAAATTTTAAAAAAAAAACTGTCATCATCTGGAATGGAACCCACGATCTCACAGTTTCGTGCTAGATTTCATAATCTTCAGCCCCAAATATACACACCTGACTTGCAAATTTTTTTTTTAAATTTAATAAATTAACTCATTTGGATACTCGACATTCTTGATTTTGTCGAAAATTTCCGGATATGTTCTTTATGTAAAACCTTTAGACACGTGTTTTTTTCCCTTCAATTTTGCAAAAAAATAATTTTTGAAAAAAAATTTTAGTCAAAATTTGGTGTCAAAATAGAAGGCTCTCCGAAATTTTGAGAAAAAAATGTCTTTTCACATGCGACAATACAGTACCTTTTATGAAATGTGAATCACAGTACTGACCACACTGAGAAAAGAAGGTATGGTCAAAACTATTAGAATATAGTAAAATTTACGGTATTTATGGGAACACCAAAATACAGCAGGATAGTTTTTTTCAATAGTGATCTGGTTATGACTTCTCATGAAATTAACATAATTAAAAATATAGTTTTTTGCCATCGGCAGTAAATGTGTTTTAATTTTATCATGATACCTTAGGAAAGTAGTTCAAAACTGCCCTTTTATGGAACTTTATGATTTTAGAGCAAATTAGTACTTTTTATAACCGGGGATGAATACTTTAATAACTTCTAGTTAGTTCTTCTATAAGCTCTGATTATATTTAGATCCGACATATAAATCATATCGTATATAATATTTCTGTTTCCTTTATTAAATTATTTGAAGCGAAATACCAATTAAATAGAAATGGCATTTTTTAAATGAAAATACATTTCTAAAAACAATACGTTGAATGTTGAACAAATTAGGAAAAGAATAAGCATTTATAAAATATTATATTAATATTTCATACCACACTTTTCAAATCAATATAAAATAACTATATTCTTTTATAAAGAAAAGTGCTTTCCAGATTATCATTTTTAGCGTTTATAATTAGTCTCTTCAGTTCATTTAGAAATAAACTATAATTCGGCTTATCTTATTCATTTTCAGCTTTTGTATATGCACCAAAAATAAATTCAAAAATAGATTAGATATAGCACAAGGACTGCAAATTTAAATGTCGGATATAAAACCTTATTTAAGATTGTCAATGATAAAATAATGAAAAATCTTCATTCCTCTAATTAAATATTTTAAAAATTGTCATTTTTTAGAATATAACGTTCACATTACCTTAATAACGATTAATTGTAATGTCGGGGTTCCGCCATTATTCAGGGTTCCGTAGAGGGAAGCATAAATAATAATTGGGAACCGCTGCCTTAGAGCCTGGCATAATAATCACTAATTAGGTAAATTTTATTTTTTAGTTCTGCATTTTTATTAAATGTGTGGTAATAAGAGCTATAATTTTAAAAAACAGAATTTTTGATAAACTGTTGCATTGTGAGCAGAAAGATTACCAAATGAATGATTTAAATACCATATATTTTAGTTTTGTTTCCAAAATTGCTTTTTTTTTTCTTCTTTTTTTGCGAGAAGTGTCGTAAATTTTTCTCAGTGAGTTATTTTGCGTTCTAATACTTCCGCACTATTTATTTAGACACAAATGCTAAAAATGAACCTTAGCTTTGAATGTCAAATCCAATCATGGAAATAAGGCTATTTTTTCACACTTTGACTTCTACGCTTATTTAAATTATTTTTATAAAACAATGCAATTAAACTAAGTATACCAAATTCATTTAATTTTCTTCTGTGTATCTAAATAAATATTTCGATGCTATGAACTTAGAAATAGTATAAAGAATTAGAAATTAATACGTTACTTTTTATTTACATAAAAAGTGTGTATAGCCAGCAATTATTTTATATTTTTAAACACTTCGATTAGATTTTAAAAGGCATCCGAAAATGTAAAAAAGAAAAAAAAATTATAATGGGCTTCATAGGGCCCCAGCTCCGAATAAAACTTTAAAAAAAGAAGAAGAAAAGTGGGATCTGAGGGGCCCTTTCCATCTCGGGGCCCCAAGCTACAGCTTATTTAGCTTATATGTAAATCCGGCCTTGCGTAACTGGTGACACCAGTTCGAATAAAGGAACGATCGGTGCAGTGCACTGGTGTAACCAGTTTTAATATTGGAACGGTCGGTGCTGCAAACCAGTGTAACCGGTGCGCATATCGGAACGTGCCCTATCTGACGTTTCAAGAGAATTATATTTTATTTTTGATTGGACTANATAGTCAACAGCCAATCACAATGCGAAAAGCCCATTGATCCGACGTTATCATTTCCTTGTTGCCATTCTGTAGTAGAAACTATGGTTTAAAATTAGTTACCAATTCCTTAAAAGATAGAGACCCGGTTGTTGAACAGAAAGTCGAAGTTGGGGTTGAGTTGATGGTTGAATTGAACGAATTTTCGCTATGTGTGATATGGCCTGTGGTATTTTTTATTTTCGCAGTTTGGCAACCCTGCCTCTGATCGACACTTCGGAACTGGCTTGCTTCGTGAAGTAACGCTGTGTATAGAGCTGTTTAATTTTTCTTCTAAGTAAGTTCTGAATTGTCTACTTTATTATACATTAAAGTGCTTGACTGTAAGCTTTAGTGTATGCTTCATAAGATTTAAATAATAATTTTATTCAGTCAACATTGCCACTTAATATACTGTTTTTAATTTTTGTTCAATATTTGGTTGTTTTAAAATTAGTTCATGTGTTTCGCCAGAATGTTTAGTAACATTATGTAAAGTTAATTCCTAATTACAGGTTTAGCTGGAAATAATTTTGTTAATGTTCATCATAAAAGACACATTTGCTGGTCTAATAGCGAAATATAAAAACTTGTTGTAATAATTTTTTCAATGTTTTTGCCAAATTTCTTAATTTACTCTTTTATTTTATTATTATACCTGAAAAAATTGCAAATCTTAATTTCTGCATTTAATTTTACAATTCAATTTCTATTTCCTTAATTTTTTAAAAAAAAGTACAGTGGGTGATCGGTTAACGAACACATATTCGAATAACGAACACATATTCAGATAATGAACAAAACGAATTCTAAGGAACACTTCTCGGCCGGAAAAAAAAATTAATATTAAACATTTGTTATCATTTTGTGTACAAAATTAGATCACTGAAAGGAGAAATGTTTAAAGCATGCTTAGTATTGATAATTACTAAATGAAACTTGAATTAACAATGAATTCTACTCAACAATGACTTTAAAAAAGTTTTGGAAAGAAAAATTTGACATTCTTGAAGCTATTCCTATCATTCAAAAGGCGTGGTCAGAAGTCACACAGACTGCTTGGCGGAAGCTGTGTCCATCCTTCGTTCAAGGAGACGGAGGTGATCAGGGAGACACCCCTGAAATTTAGACAACTGCTCGAGAGATCTGGAATTGGACGTGAACGATGAGGACATAGAAGAGCTCATAATGGGACATGAAGATGAACTGACCATGGGTGCCACTTCAGTCCTGGGGACTGAAATCAGTCTTGAGAAAAAATCAATGGACTAATAAGTTCTAACAAGTTAAATTTTCTCTTTTTTTTCCATTAGAAATTTAAAAATTTTTCTGATCAAAATAAAAAAAATATTATATTTTAATGAAAACATATGATATGGTAATGATGTCAGGACTTTTATTTATCTTCTTTTTGTCAACTTCACTAAATCTTATTTTTAAAGCTTTGACAAATGGGATTGATTGAACTTCATTTACTTGTGTAATTAAATTTGTACTATTGCTGAATTTAAATCTGCTCTAGTTAGCGTCCCCCACCGTAACTTATTGTCATGCTGGCCTAAGTTAAAACAAAAGATTATTTAAAAAAAAAGAAAATAATAGTGCTAGAACCAGGGTTGGCAAGTTTTTGACACATGACGGTTTTTACCGGTTATTACCATGGTTTTTACCGTCATGTCAAAAACCCATATAGTTTTGGTAAAATTATATTTTTATTTGAGTTTAACTGCTTATAATTTAAAATTAAATAATTTTTGGGCAATAAAATTAGAAAAAAAGTTGTTAAAAATATTTAAGAACAGATTCTTGCATTTTCCCAACATGTTTATATCAAAACATACTATTTGAAGTAAAATATTAGGATAAACAAAATTTTCAACATTTCCAAGCATCACTTTGTTTGGCATATTAAACTACTGAACAATGTCAAGATTGATTACTTTCATTCATAAAATCTTGCTTTGAGAAACACATGTATACATAAAAAGAAAACCTCATAAAATGAACTTTTCTTATCATTTTTGTTTTCAATATTTTACCCAGAAATGAGACATGAAAAAGCCTGGGAAATCCTTTTTGAGTTTCCGTGTAACATTGAAATAACCTGTTGTTATCATTATCCTCAATGACAGGCTTCCATTGAAAGAATCTTCTCGAACTTTGGACTCATCCATACTAAACTCAGAAATCGACTGGGCAAAGAAAAATGCTCAAAATTTGCCACTTGCTATCGTATGCTTCGGCACAGTGACCCCGACTACTGAACATGCAATTCTGTTTGTAATTAAGTTTTGCTTTATGTGCTTTTTCAACTGAATAAAAGCTTTTAACTTGACAAAATAGCAGTAATTCTTGACTCAGAGTTTGTTAGTAGTTACAAGTTTTGAAAGCTTATTTCTAATATTTAAGAAATGCCAAATTTTAAATTCTTTTTAGTTCTTGAATTTATTAATAGTTCCAAGCTTTTTTGTTTGTTTGTTTATTTCTAACAATTAAGAAGTGCAAAATTTTTAATCATTTGCAAATCAAGCTATAATGATATACGTAAGTATCACTATTTTCAATAAGTATATTACAATATTACTGTATGAATGTATATCCTTCTATAAGGATACATATGTATATACCTAGTTGCAAAATCAATAGCAATCATTTACAACATTCATTTATAAAGGCAATTATGTGAAAATAATATATTGTCCGCTATATGCCATAAATGAAAGAAAACAGTAGGTTTTTTAAAGTTTTTACCGGTAAAAACACGGTTTTTACCACTGTCATGTCAAAAACCAGTTTTTGATGGCAAAAACCTAACCCTGGCTAGAACAAAAAATAAGTACCGATGAAGCGTAAAATAGAAATTAGAATGGTTTCAGGTTGTTCAGTAATAGTTGTAAAAAATATGCAAGGTTAGCTGTTATTTTCGTTTTGTTTGCTAAATAAACATAAAATAAAGAAGAAAAAAATTAGAAAAAATAATCAAATAATTGATTTAATATGTAAGCAATTAACAAGGAAAGGTAAATTTTGGTGTCCGTGAGCTATAATTTTCTAAAAGTTTGATAAACAACGCTAGATTTGGTCAAAAAATAAGTTCAGTCTTGAAATTTTTTAGAGTGGAACCCCTGGAACTGACGACAGAACTCCAGGAAATTTTGAATGAAGAACAGCAAGAAACACAGCGAAATGTGTCTCCTTCTGAACAAGAGGAAGACGAAAGAGGACCAATGCCGACATCTGCCATTAAAGATCTTTTGAAGAAGTAGGAGGAAGTCAGAGCAATGGTCTTAGAATGACACCCAAACCAAGCTGATGTCAGTAGAGTTGGGGATCTTTACAACGGTAATGAAAACCTGAGAATGAATTACCTGAGAAAGAGAGAAAAGCAATCGACATGTTCTTCAACGCCCCTTAAGCAAAAAATGAAAAGGACTGATTAATATGCAAGACTATACGTATGCATTATTTTTTAAACTTACTTACAAATTATAAATTTTTTAAAATTTAATTTTAAGGTCTCCAGAAGGAATTAATCGATTTCACATAGAAGTCTATGGTGAATCGATGATCGGTTAACAAACAATTCGGATAGCGAACATAGTCTTGGAATGGATTATGTTCGTTAACCGATCACCCACTGTACTTAATTTTTTCAACAAAAAAAAATCCTTAAAAATGCATAATTTTTGCTTTGTGAAAAGAGTGGGAACCCTGTTGCACAATTTCGCAAAAGCAGGCTCCTGGTTGAAAGAATGTGACTTAGCGCTTACTTTATATTAAAAAATTATAAGTAGTTTTTTCACTATTTTACGAAAACAGAACTTTTTACAAAATGTCGGGACAGACCCCTGGTATGGTGGATAATATTGGCGAATTGTATACATAAAATGGGCATATTCATGTATATAAAAATATTTTATGGTAGTCTGACAATGTTTAAATTTTACATCAAATATGATAAGTTAGAATTTTTTTTTTTTAAATTAATGAACTCACTGTGGTTATGAAATACTTATACGAAAGCAAAGACGAATAACTTTTTATTTAATGATCAGATAGTACTAGGATGCTATCTTAATGATTTGAGAAGTAGATTTGCTAAATATTTGTTGCAGGTGACCTGTAAAATTACACACAGAGGGCTTATGGGTTCTTCCCAACTTCGTCTGTTTGGTCATGTGGTGTTGTAATGCCCGACCGACTACGTCCATTGCTTACAATGCAGGAGCATAATTTAAACTGAATTTTACTTTGTTGTTCCTTTAAAAAAAATTTCTTTTTGCATAAACTTTTCACTTTATTTTGTAAATAGATATTCACAAAGAAAATTTTTTTCCTATTTCGTAATAAATAAGCTTTTATTTCTTACTATTCTATAGCCGTCTTGTATCTTTCACGTTTGTGTTTACTTTTATCCTTTCTTAAAAACACTTTAATATCTATTATTGTTGCTATGCTTTAATCTAAATCTTGTAAATAATTAATCTTCTGTATAAATTTATTTTAACGAAGCTTTTTCTGCGTGTTTTACTTTTCTGTTTTTTTTTATCCTTAATTGTCGGGATTTGCTAGCATCTAGCAACTATAACACATTTTTTCTTTACCAATAACTAGAGGTAGGCAAATTTAATATTAATGATTATATATAGTGATATTGTGCTGTATCAATGATTATAAGGATAGATGCATCGTATAAACTTTTAAATCTGTTAAACTTGTCTTTAATGTTTGTTGAAAACAACAGTAAACTAACCTTTGTTTTGAATGTTTTCTTAATTTCAAATGCTTAAATTGAATTTTTTAATGCTTATTATCCCCCACAAAGTTAATAAATTCTACGTTACTCACAAAATTTTCTAAGAACTTCTTAAAACCTTTAGTATTTTCATTCATAAACATAGTATCACTGTTGCAATTCTGTCTACTTTCGTTTATTTTCGCTCTATAATTCAAAATAGTCAATGAATTAAAATTTGTAACATTACGGTGTTTCACTAAGTTTATACATAGTGTTATTTGTACAATTAAAGAAATTAAAAATAGAGAGAACAGAATATTATGATTATCACACTGTAGAAACACGTGTTGGTATTGGAATGTTTATTCCTACACCCCGGGAGTGTGACGTCACGTGGAAAGAGCCCATAGGGAAAAATTAGAAAATTTTGTTTCCAACAAGTGGCTATTTTTAATAGTAGCCACTTTTTCAAATAAAAGAAAATTCTAAACTATCAAAAAAACAAACTTGATGTTATATTCATGTAAAGCAATGAAATTCAAAGTGAGTTTTTGAACCTGTATGCACCTTAAAATTTAAGTTTATTGACAAACACAAAATTTATTTGTTACAAAATAAATCTAAATTGATTGTATTATTGATTATGAAATTATATTAGATTACTTTTAAACAATGTTGGCTATATCTTCTAAAATAAATAATTAAATACTGTGAACATTACATTAAAAGTTAATTTTTTTTGTACTAATATATGTAATTAAATGAATTAGTAATTAAACTTTCAGAAATCGCAGGAGATATGTTTGGTACTCATTTTTATATTCTTTGTATTAAAGTATTCATAACTTATTTGTAACTACTATTGAACCTCGTTATATGTGAAATTGAAAAGAGTATCATAATTATTTAATGTTAACCAAATTTCGTTTTATCTGATGCATTATGAAAACAATTTATTTTGTATTATTAATACATGTTATGTACTTCATTAATGTGCGTGAATAACTCTATTATGAACCAAACAAATTATAATAAGTTGCAAAGTTAGAACTACTTTATTAAACTATTTTATATAGGTATTTCCCCATCTGGAATAACATGGAAGAAAATAGAAATAGCAATCCTCAAAATGAATGATTTCTTTAATCATTCATTACAATTATACAATAACTATACTATCATACCTAATTATTTATTATCTGTGCTGTATCCAGTCTCCTTTCATGTTAAGAGGTAATCAGCTTGAAAATTCTATGATAAAGCATGTAAAATACACAGGGGTCTATCTAGATTTTTTTGAGAGGTACCTATTTTGTGAAAATTAAAAATTATATTTAAAATCAACACAAAAATATAGTAAAGTAAGAAAATATTTTCAAAAATTCTCAGTACAAATAAAATGCATATATGACAGGTAAATTTTTATATATTTTTCGTCATATATTAAGAAATTTTGCTATTGTAAAATTTTGGGCTTAAAATTGTATCCAAATTTAAAAATTTCAACTTGAGTTTAATTCAGGGTTCCCACAGTCCTTAAAAACTGCTTAATTTTTATTTTGAAAAATAAGGGTCCTTAAAACTACTTAATTTTGATACAAGGTTTTTGAAAGTCCTTAATTTCAAAAATATTTTAAATTTTCATTCCTGTGTTCTAAATAAGAATGCATGATTTGCTTCTAACAAGAAAGTTCAATATTTAATAACTATTTATAGCTTGTTTTGTTGCAAGGTTAAAAAAAAATTTAAAGTTTTTGATTGTTATGGTATTTTTATTTCTAAAGGATAAGCAGAGTCATACATAAAGATTTTAATCTACTCAATTAAAAGATTCCAAACTTTTTGTTATTAATGTCCATTAGAATCAAATTCAAAGTTAGATTTTAACTAGCATTTTATTTGGTTAACATTGCAATTTAATATACTGTTATTGTTTTTTTGTTGTTGTTCTTTTTTTTTAATTCAAATTATGATTGCTTTAAAATTTGGCAGTTTCCGATTAACCTGGAAAATATTATTTTTAGTCTGCTTTTTAAAGCTGCCAGCGTGTTATTGTCATGATGTTTTCTCAATTGTAGGTCTTTACTTTAGACAGCAACTGAAGGAGTTTTTCTTTTTTAATTGTGGTTTTAAATTTTTACCGTGATGGTGACAAATTTTCTGCTAATAATGCAGAGCTCCTTCTAGGCAGAAAAAAGGGCATTATTATTCTAAAAAGGCAATAATTTCTTTCTATGGGCTTTACACGTTCTATTAAAAAACATTGTCAATTAGTAAGAGAAAAAAAAACTTTTTTTACTTTACCAAAAGTAGCAAAGCAATCATATTAATAAATTAATTTTTATTAATAAATTAACATATAAATCAAGTTAATGAGCTAATAAGCTTAGTAATTTATTTAAAATGCATGCACATATTAATAAATGTATGTTTTTAAGTGTCTGTAGTTATGATTTAATAATTAAAATGATTAATAATAGGTATGATTTAAGAAATAATTAACTTTTCAGAGTTATTAATTTTGTTATGGGTGCTTTAAATAGTATAACAATATAATTAAAATGCAGCATTAAATTAAATAATATACATTAAAAATAATTTTAAACTTATGTTTTAACACCATACCCATACAAACAAATCAAAACAAAAAAATAATATGAAAATGAATTAGAAAATAGCATACAAAATTCAATGAAGCATCTTACTCAGGGTGGATCCTTTTGACTAAAAGGGCAACAGGATGCTGCGCCCTGTTAACCCTGCCTAGAATGAGCTCTGAATAATAATTGCTTTCAACTGAAAGGGGCAAAATAAAGAATGCAGAACAAATAATTTTTGTGATGTAATTTGTATTTAAATGCTTGATCGACAAAACAAAAATTTCAAAATAAGTAAATTAATAAAAATTGGATGAGTTGAACATTGTAGTCGTAAACGTGAGAATGAGTAAAGTCTGGTTATAAAACAAGATGAGAATATCTCTTGGTAGTTATAATTTCATGACATCTTTCGCTACCGATGTTGCTTATTTGAACGTGTCTTATTCAGTGATCGAGTTATTCAAATTTTTAAATCTACAATTTTGAAATGAATTTTCTTACTACATTTTGTAATTTGTCTGCATTTTGTTTTCAAACTATTTTCTGCTAAATTTTGTAATAAGCAGTAAATTTCATCATAAAGAAGGAGTAAAACTTGACATTTGTATAACACCGTTAATTTTATTTTTTATTTTATATATGTCGTTGAACAGCCGACCTAATTTCATGGGTTTACGACTACTAATGTTCAACTCCGTCGCCTTGTCATTTTGAACCACTACAGAAGACAAGGAAACTCCTGGATCACTACCCCGAGAGGTATTGATTTGATATGGAGGACTTTGAGACTCGACAGATTTAACGTGCATCAGTCACCATTTACTACACAGGGAGTCTTCGGTTGGTGAGGATCGAACCCACGACCTCTTGGGCATGGGCCCAGCGCCCTCTTTCCAACCCTGCCTTATGGTATTTTTTTAAAGTGCGTAAAAGGTGCTTATTTCTTGTTGAATAATTTGGCTATACGGCCTGTATAATTAAATTGTTAAAATATCTAAATTAGCAGTTCGTTGAGATAAAATGCCTTCATGACAATATTATCTTAAAAAACCTCGTTATTACATGAGCTAATTACAGCTTAATGTCCTTTCAAAATAAAATGTTGTGATTTTAATTTTAGCATATACTTACTGAATACTTATTAAATTACATTTTTTCCAGGGTCCTTATTTCAGTCATGTTAGAAGAAAAAAAACTTGAAAAAACCTTGAAAGACTTGAAGAAGACTAGAAATGTTTCAGATTTTATAGAGTTGTTAAAAATTTATAAATATAATCAAATTATGAAAGAAGTATCCGATATCTTTGATGGGGAGGAAGGTCTTAAAAATAAATTAAAGTTGCTGTTTGGCCTGAAATTTTCCGAAGATGTTGTCGAATGGTCTGATGGTTATTTTAGAATATGTGTTGAAGAACTTGATAATGGTTTCAATAAGGATCTAAAGGAAAAGTTGTTTAATTTATTTGACTGTTCTGAAGAAAGTAGTAGTGGTCGTTCCTTTTCTGAAGCTTTCGCGGGCCTTCTATATGAGTTGCAGTGTGAAGATGGAAATTTGAACGAAGCTTTACTTAAAATCATAGAAGAGACTGAACTAATTGTTACTGAAAGTCCCGAATATCACTACTATTCTTCCCAACCACAATTCAATGAGGCAAATAATTCTAATATTCTGAATATAGGAATGTGCGTAATAAGAGATGCCTGTGACGCCAAGGCTGATAAAGTATTAAAATTAGTACTCAGAATTGGGCAGAGCCATGAGGAATTTTCGGAAGAAGACAAAGTGATAATAGGGAAGCTTATGATGGATGCCGTGGTACCAATCCAACGTTACATAAGGCGTGTTCTTATTACTTATGGTCATAGATCATACCCTTCTATACAAAGAAAAAAAGCTGCATTAGAAAGAATTTTCAAAGAGTATGCTACATATACGCCTTTGAGTGTGTATAAAATTCCCGAATATAATAAATTATTAGAAGGTATTGAAGCATTAACTAAAGTGAATAAAGACTATTGCGATTCCTCAAACAGTGACAGTGATTCCTCAAACAGTGCGTAGCTTTTTTAACAAGTGCTTAAGGCAACAAAGGACATTCAAAAAAAATTTTGAAATTATCAAGGGATTTGCTTGAAAATATCAGGATACATTTATATTGTTAAAAACAACTATTATACAAAATTTCGAAAAAATATTTTGAAATTTGAGAATTTTGAATTTTTTTTTTATTCCTTGCGTCTGAAATTTTGTTAAAATGACAAAATTCTTTCAAAATATTATATATTAGGTAATACTATAAAAACTGTTGGGAGTACTTTTTTTATTTTTATTATAGAAACAAATGGATTAAAAAAACAATAAAAAACCAACATTTTTGGGGAAAAATTCATATATAAAAAATACTGTTCACTTCATTCAAAAAACTTTTCCGACAGAATGTTAATAATCATAAATATATAGCATTAAATTCTCAGGTCAATAGAATGAAAATTCATTTCGCTGGAACAGTTTGAAATTTGTAAATTTGTCAAAAAAGACATTTTGAGAAAAATGATTTATACTACTTTTTCACTGCAAATTTTACTTCTGAACAAATATTTGTACTATGTTGCCAACAAATTAGAAATTAAACTAAAGTACTAAAAATATTTTGAAAATTTAAAGTATAACTAAAATTAAACTGAATGAGAAAGAATCAGTGAAGATAAAAACTGCAGACAAGAAAATGTAAACAAAGGGGCGTGGTCAAAATTGAAATGACCATAACTTCATCAATTCTGTAATTCCAGATTTTTTTTTTTTAAATGTTCAGTTAAAATTCAGAATAATATTTGCCATTCACTTAATGCCTACGCATAATTTGAATTATGTGTTCACAACTCTAAAATATTACCTATAGGTTTAATAGTAATTTCTTCAAACTTTATTAAAACAATATATTATAAAATAAAAAAAACTTAACACATATGTTTTTGCATTTTATAGAATTTTGTGTCATGCAGAACATATCTTTAAACTTACCTACTAAGCATGGTAGTAATATTAGTTTGAGAAAGACAAGCTATAAATGCTTAATATAATTTTTAGATTCAAATATTTAGACACATAAATATATGGTTAAGCATTTACAGAAAAAAAAAATTTAAATTTCAGAGAGCATAACAACTAATATAACACAATAAATTTACCAACTTTAGTGTGCTTAATCAAGTACAGTAGACTTAAAAATAAAGATATTTAAGGAAATACATTTACCTAAATAT